CCACTCACAGGTTACGTTGCAGCCCGCCCCCTTGTGATGTCCCCGCAGATCTACTCTGCAAAGGTGAAGCCACCATGATTCTTGTTCCAGTTCCGCTGGCTTCTCAGGCAGGTGCACGTCAGACAGTCCATACATGCAGACACAGTTGTGCACCTGGGAGGAGGGGCCAGAAGCACTGAGTGAAGGAGGGAAAATATAACCAACAAATGTTTGGGGGAAGCGGGGAGAGAAAGAAAAATGAGGTGGGAAGATCTCTGGCAGCCTGTGAGGGCGCCATCCCATTGGCTGAGTGGCTCCTTGAGCTACGAGCTTTGCATCCATTATCTACATAAATGAAGTTATAGAGCAACCCTGTGATAAAAACTTAGGTCTAGGGAAGGTGAGTGATTTGTGCGTGGTCACACAGCTGCAGGGAGCGTTTGGTTCTGGATCCTCTTTGGGTTCATTAGGCTGTTACCTGGCAGGAGTGGCCGGGGCCTGGGGCCTAACAGAGGTCAAGGAAGGAAACAGGAGGAAATCCACCAACATGAAGCTTCACGAAGGCAGGGACCCATCTCACCACATCCTCAGAAACTAGAGGATTGCCTAACATACAGGAACTCGGTGTTTTTCTCAAGAAGGGGTGGGAGGGAGCGAGGAGGGCTTTGTAAGTACAGTTGTTGAACATGAACGAGGCCAAATCAAAAGCAGGAGCCCTTACTTGCTGTGTCTCCCAGAGGCTGCCCATGGTTGCTCCTTGGGTATAAGGTCGACCAGAACTTCTCCAACCGGAGTGTGCTTAACAGTAAACACCTTCAGTTCCCCTTAGGATGCCAACTCTGACTCCGGAGATGTAAGATAGAGCCCGAGATTCTGCATGTCCAACAGGTGCCCAGATGCTGATGGTGATGGTGGTGATGATGGTAGCGATGGTGATGATGGTGGTGATGGTAGTGATGATGATGATGATGATGATGGTGGTGATGGTGACAGTGCTGAGGATGGTGATACTGATGGTGGTGGTGGTGATGGTGGTGATGGTAATGCTGAGGATGATGGCAGTGATGATGATGGTGGGGGTGATGGTGATGCTGAGGATGCTGGCAGTGATGGTGGTGATGGTGGTGGTGGTGATGCTGAGGATGCTGGCAGTGATGGTGGTGATGGTGGTGGTGGTGATGCTGAGGATGCTGGCAGTGATGGTGGTGATGGTGGTGGTGGTGATGCTGAGGATGCTGGCAGTGATGGTGGTGATGGTGGTGGTGGTGATGCTGAGGATGCTGGCAGTGATGGTGGTGATGGTGGTGGTGGTGATGCTGAGGATGCTGGCAGTGATGGTGGTGATGGTGGTGGTGGTGATGCTGAGGATGCTGGCAGTGATGGTGGTGATGGTGGTGGTGGTGATGCTGAGGATGCTGGCAGTGATGGTGGTGATGGTGGTGGTGGTGATGCTGAGGATGCTGGCAGTGATGGTGGTGATGGTGGTGGTGGTGATGCTGAGGATGCTGGCAGTGATGGTGGTGATGGTGGTGGTGGTGATGCTGAGGATGCTGGCAGTGATGGTGGTGATGGTGGTGGTGGTGATGCTGAGGATGCTGGCAGTGATGGTGGTGATGGTGGTGGTGGTGATGCTGAGGATGCTGGCAGTGATGGTGGTGATGGTGGTGGTGGTGATGCTGAGGATGCTGGCAGTGATGGTGGTGATGGTGGTGGTGGTGATGCTGAGGATGCTGGCAGTGATGGTGGTGATGGTGGTGGTGGTGATGCTGAGGATGCTGGCAGTGATGGTGGTGATGGTGGTGGTGGTGATGCTGAGGATGCTGGCAGTGATGGTGGTGATGGTGGTGGTGGTGATGCTGAGGATGCTGGCAGTGATGGTGGTGATGGTGGTGGTGGTGATGCTGAGGATGCTGGCAGTGATGGTGGTGATGGTGGTGGTGGTGATGCTGAGGATGATGGCGGTGATGATGAGGGTGGTGGTGATGCTGTTCCTCAGACCACACTGCGCATCAAGCATGCAGAGTATTTGGACAGAATGTAGATGGACAGTTTTCCGTTGTTTCATTTCGTTTTCTGAGTTTCTATAGTTCTAGGATTCGGGGAGGAAGAAGATGAGAGGGTTAGTTCATGTTTATGGTTTGACTTCCAAACAATAAGGACAGAATTAAAGTTAAAATAGAAGAAAATGGCCCAAAATGTTCATGCAAATATGGACTTGCCCTGGGAAGGATCATGCGAGAGTTACTCTATTATAAACAGAGGAGAATATAGCAGATTCTTCTGCAAACGAGGTTGCAGCTTTTCCTTTCCCTTTTTTGTGATTTTGTTCTTTTTAAGTTCAAAAGAAAAGAGTTGGGGCCTGGATTTTTTCTCTTACGTTTAATTTGGTCTCTCAGGAGAAATGTTGCTTTAGACCTAGGAGACTTGTATGTGAATAAAGAAAGAGAACTCAAGAAATTCTTGATTTTAAAAGGGAGCAAATGATAAATTTTTTGAGCACTAGGGACTAAACTTATGAATTTATTCATTTCCTATAGTCTCCATCATTCAAGTTTCATTGCACACTATTTCAAATATAGAATATGATGTAGACATATAAGCAAGAATAATGATGAATCTTTTTATATCTACAGCTCAGTTTAAGAAATAAAACCAAAAACGCTAAATTTCCCAGCATTCGCCCTTAAATACATTGTACTTTCTCTCCATGAGAGCTTTAAAATAACTTAGGTTGAGGTGTATCATTTTCGTACATTAAAAATATCTTTAGAACAGTCCTAATAAGACTTGATGTGTTTTAAAATTTTATATAAACAGTATCAAACTGCTTATTTTAATTTGATTTTTATTAACCCCACTAGTAGTTTGTGAGGCTTTTTCATGTTTATGAAAGTTCTCACATTTTCGCAGTTGTATAATGTTCCATTTAACTTCTGCACATCCACTTGGGATAAAGTTCGCATTTCATCTTTTTGTATGTTTTTACAGTGCATAACATGTCCAGGTTAAATGTTCTATATATTTTTTAGCATATTTTATTGATTTTTTTATAGAGAGGAAGGGAGAGGGACAGAGTTAGAAACATCGATGAGAGAGAAACATCCATCAGCTGCCTCCTGCACACCCCCCACTGGGGATGTGCCCACAAGCAAGGTACGTGCCCTTGACCAGAATCGAACCTGGTACCCTTCAGTCCGCAGGCCGACGCTCTAGCCACTGAGTCAAACCGGCTAGGGCAAATGTTCTATATATTAATGAGACAAATTTAGATGGTCCATGACATGAATAAAGGATTCCAGCTAGAATTAAAATGGGTATCACTTCCGTTCTGGCCAATTAATACACAGGGCACAGTTGCCCACTCACTGAGCTGCTTTATTGAAATCCCCATCTAGGAAAAGAGCATTATGCCACCCATTTCCTCAAAATTACCATAAAGAGAACATCATCATGGAAATACTTGTTTTAATGTGCTAGCATTTAGAGAATAGGCGGTCGTGTGGCTTTACTGCTAGAATCAAGTCTTCGGGAACATGGACGGCTCAGTCTACACAGTGGATGTGTTCTGGGGATGGTGGGACATGGGTGAGTTGTTAAAGGTGAACTATTTTTTATCCACTCATCTACTGATGGGCAATTAGCTGCTTCCGAATCTGGGCTATTGTAAATAATGTTGCAGCAAACATAGAGCGCATTGACACAGTGGAGTACCCCTCTGCTGTAAAAAGGAAGGACATTTTACCCTTTGCAATAGCATGGATGGACCTGGAGAGCATTAGGCTAAGTGAGAAAAGCCAGTCGAGAAAGACGAGCATCACGATTTCACACATACTAGTATGTGGAATCTGAGGAACAAACTGAACTACCAAGCAAAACAGAGACAGACTCCTAGAGAGCAGGCTGACAGCCGTGATGGGGTGGAGGAATTGAGCAAAAAGAAAAAACAAAGAGAATTCATGGACCTGGACACCAGTGTGGTGATTGTGGGGAAGTATTGAGCTGGGTGGAGGTGGAAGAGGGCATAGAGGAGATAAATAGTGATGGAAAAAATGAAATAGCCCAGCCGATGTGGCTCAGTGGTTGAGCATAGACCTATGAACCGTGAAGTTCATGGCTCTATTCCCAGTCAGGGCACATGCCCAGGTTATGGGTTAGATCCCCAGTAGGGGGCGTGCAGGAGGCAGCTGATCACTCATTCTCTCTCATCAGTGATTTTTTTTCTCTCTCTCTCTCCCGACTTCTCTGAAATCAATAAAAACATATATTTTTTAAAAACTGAAGGTGACATCTACCTCAATGTGTCAGGTGTACTCACTGTTTAAAACACCTAGTGTTCCTGTTGCAAACCCTTGTTTAACAGCCAGCTTCTTTCTCTTCCCTTTTTCCCCTCTGGCTTCCTGTTGGTAAATATGGCCCTGGGGCCTGTGCCTGTTCTGGTTGGAGCCCCGCGGTGACATTTGGGGATTTTTACCGCCGTGTACTCTTCAGCAAATAGCACCGTGATGGCTTAGCAGACAGCGCATGCTTTGGGGACGGGTATTTACCCAGACAGATGGAAATGGATAGCTGAGCACTTACCCAATTAGTGGATTAAATGTGCCCAGTCGGTCTGGATAAATCACAGAAATGTGCCCTTCCCCGTGCCTGGCCAGCGTGAGATCGCCTGCCGCGTGCGAGGCAATTACCTCGACGTTCTACCTCTCTGGGCCGGCGCAGGCCGAGCCTGATTTCCCCGGTGAGCACGTGGGTCGTTCTCACTTTTCAGGAAATCCCGAGGAGTCTAACTTCAGATGCTGTGTTGCCCTGGTTTCTATGTTCATCAGCCTTTGGTTGCTGCTGAAGACCTCGGGCGTGTACGAGTCGCAGTTATGAATCAGTGCGACCATACGTGCGCGTTACCTGTGGTCTGTAGGAGAGGTGGTGTTTACGTGGGCTTTATAATGCTGATTTAATGTATATGTTCAATATTCTCTTAGGCTATCTATATAGCCTAAGAGGAAAAATCCTTGCCTTTTCTCCAGATGGCAGCTGAACGGAAGCGATATTAACCTGGCCGTGGAGTCTCGTTACGAGCTGAACGGAGGAGACCTGGTGGTCATTAACCCCCACAGGGATCGGGACTCGGGGAGTTATCAGTGTTTCGCTACAAATCCGCTCGGAACCATCGTCAGCAGAGAAGCAAAGCTGCAGTTTGCCTGTAAGTTCTGGCCCGCACACCTGCAGGCCCAACATCTCACAGCACATAGCCGCATGGGTGCCGTCCAAGAGGTTCAGGAACAGCACATGGTTTCATTCATGTAGTAAGTGGATTGATTCAATATAAATGGAGGCTTTTTAAATATATTTTTATTGATTTCAGAGAAGAAGAGAGAGGGAGAGAGAGAGAGAAACATCAGTGATGAGAGAGAATCAGTGATCGGTTGCCTCCTGCACGCCCCCTCACTGGGGATCGAACCCACAACGTAGGAATGTGCCCCCACCGGGAATCGAACTGTGACCTCTTGGTTCATAGTTCAACACTTAACCACTGATCCACACTGGCCGGGTGACCGGATTTAGTCTTGATCTTCCCCATACGACCTTCGAACACCGTCCACTTTGTTTCTTCTCGCTGGTCCCCCTTCCTGTGCATTGGTTGTGTGTTTGTACAGGACGCCTGGCAGGGCGGAGACTTGCGTTGGGAGCAGGCCCAGGGCTGCAGGTCAGGGGTCTTTGCTTTGGGCAAAGGGCAGTGAGGTGTGGTCCCCGAGACCCATCCTCGCTCGCTACTCCCTCTGGCGGTCCCCGCTCTGGGCTGTGCCGCAGGCGCATGCTTAGTCTTGCTTCCTCATACCTGCTCGCCGTGGCGATGAACCTCACCTCTCCCCTATGGGAAGAGGAGTGGGTGAGGCTAAGTCAGCCACTGTACAGACGCCCGTGTGTGTTATCTCACCGGCCGATGTGGCCTCCCGGTGCCGTTGGTTTTCAGGTCACCGTGGCCATGCTCTGGAGTATCGCTGCTCCCTCCCCAGCCTCACTCCGAGGGACAAGCAGCCAGCAGGCCGGGACAGTCTCAGCAGCCTTGCTGTACGGGGTTTCTGTTTAAAGACGCCTTGTGTCACCCGACCGGCGTGGCTCAGAGGTTGAGCATCAACCTGTGAACCAGGAGGTCACAGTTCGATTCCTGGTCAAGGGCACTTGCCCGGGTTGCGGGCTCCATCCCCAGTAGGGGGTGTGCAGGAGACAGCCAATCACTGATTCTCTCTCATCATTGATATTTCTCTCTCTCTCTCCCTCTCTCTTCTTCTCTGAATCAATAAAAATATATTTTTTTAAAAAACCCACAAAACTAAATTGGGTCTCAGGTCCCCAGTCTATACAGAGATCATGTGCCGACAGGACTCTGTGGAGAGCAGGGGTGTGTGAGTCAGGACGGAGGACAAGTTCACAGGGTACTTTTTTTAACGCTTGATTGAGATAGCTCCACCAGGCCTTCCTCTGTTCCCCGGCGATGTCCTGGGAGTAGGGGGGAGGCTTCCCGGATAGACCCGTGGTGTCTCCGGGAAGCCCCGGAAAGTTCTTGCTTGGACGTCCTCTGCCTGTTTTTCTGTGTGACTCCCCATCTCTGGTCCCTGTGGGCCTGTTTCTTCATTGCTGCTCTTTGGGGATATTGTTGCAACCCTTCTCCCAAAGCCTGAAAGTGGTGTCTTTGCAGCAGAACCCTGCGGCGTCCCCGTGAGCGAAACCTCGCCCGGGAGGAGGGCAGCTCCAGGCGGTGGTTAAAGATAAACCAGAGGCCTGTGTGTGGCTGGGAATGCACTCAGTTCAGAGGCGCCAGCAGCATGTGTGTGTGTGTGTGGCGGGGGGCGGTTCCACAGGGGACCAGGTACCATCATTCTTAGGCCGCTGTGTTCTCTCACTATAGGGAGCTCGCTAAAAATACCCTGCAATTTCTCCTTCCATGGGAGCACCTCTTTAATTGAGCCCTGGCTTTAATGCGCATCCATTATGCCCCCAGGATTCTATTTTGCAAATGTTGGAAAATGTCTTTAAAATCATTCCTGAAATCCTGTGATTTTCACAGTCATGATCTCTTTCGTGAGATGATTTCTCCCTCTCTTCGCCCGCCCTCTTATTTTTGCTCGACTTGCCGTCGTGTTCTCAGAAAATAAAAATGGCTCTTAGAAGCACATCATTCACTGCACATCTTCCCCTAATTCTGCATTTGATGGAGAGGCCTCTTGTTTGTCGGTTTTAGGATGATTGGATTTGCAAGAGATGTGCTAAAGCATCCCTTGTTTTATTTTTTTCTTCTGTGAATTGTCTGCCCTAGTCCTTCCGGGATAAAGCAAAGAATATGCTACTCCAGGGCCTAGTACATCTTTTTTGGAAAAAAATTCTGTCTGGTATAAATTATACCTCAGGACATTAATTCCAAAATCTCAAAGGACAGTGTTTTATGAAATAGAATATATCATCACTTAAGTTATTTGATTTGTTAAAGTACCCGATAGAAATTTCCTGCGGCAAACACTATTCTGTGTTCTTGTTTGTACCTGCAAGCTGTGCCGACTGTCCCTCGCCCCCTCAGCTCTTGGCTTTCTGCTCAGCCACACTGACAGATGACGGCCGAAAGTCAACAGATAGGTCGTTTGCATCACACTTCTTCATTCCTAGCATTTTGAATATGAATCCTTTTTTAAAATATTTTTATTGATTTTAGAGAGAGGAAGGGCGAGAGCCAGAGAAACATCGATGTGAGAGCAAAAAATATTGGTTGGCTGCCTTCTGCACATCCCCTACTGGGGATCAAGCCTGCAATCCGGGCATGTGCCCTGACGGGGAATCAAACTGTGGCCTCCTGGTTCATAGATTGATGCTCAACCAACTGAGCCGTACCGGCCAGGGCTTGATTATAATTTCTTGATTATCAACTTCAAAAGTTTTAGAATAACTACCTTTCAGATTATTAAATTCATTTTAATTGCATAGGCTGAAAAGTTTCCTAAAAATCTATCTTCAGCTCCAGGTTATCCAATACACAACTTGTTCATGAAAAGTCCCTCTCAACCCGTGACCTTTAAATGACTTTTCCTCCAAGACAGCCACCCACCAGGACCTCCGACTCCCCTTGGGATAGGCGTTGATGATTAGACGTGGAATTAGCATATTCTGGGTTTTCCCCTCAAAATAAGCATGTCTGTTAGTGCACCTGAGAGCTTCATTACCGTCTGTCTTTCCTGACTGTGAATGTGGTTGTTGTTAATATTGTCATCACGCTTTTCCTAACACCATGTTTTGATGGTGTCGGCAATCAAAATCCTCTTGTCTGATGAGGCCCGGACGTCCTCAGCATTGAGCCCATTATGCAAGATTATGTTTAAAAGGGGGCTTATAATTCCATGTACAAGCCCCTGTAATCCTACCCATCCAGCCCACTCCCGGCCTCCCTTCGCCCTGTGACTGCCCTGCTCTCCCCATGCTCCCTCATTTCCTCCCACTCCCTCTCCCTTTCTCTCTCCCTCTTTCTCTTTCTTTCTCTCCCTCCCTCCTCTATTTCCCTCCCACTCTCCCTGATATATGAAGGGCATTTCAGCCCTGGGAACAGCATGTGCTAAAGTGGGAAAGCAGGAGGCACAGGACATTCAAGGCCTGAGAGAAGTTGGGTGGTAGGAGCCTAGATTTGCAAAGGTTTGTGGAGGGAGACGCGGCTGGGAAATGACCGAGACCTCACACGGCTCACTGAGACATGAGGCCAGTGGAAGCCGCCGGGGTGGACAAGCAGGGGGGGTAGACACGCAGAGCAGCAGAGTGAGTTGCACTTGGGTGAGTGTCCGGGCCGTTAGATGGAATGTGCTGATGACGGGGCTGGGAAATGAAGAGGGAAGGGAGGGAGGAGGTGCTTATGGATAGACGTCCCAGACTGGGGCACAGATTGGAGGTGAGGCGGATGAAAGAGTGAGAATGACAGGGAGGCCCTCTGGGTCTGGGAGGGCATGCGGGTGGCAGGGGCTCCGTGGAGAAAAGGGAGTGAGCCCCATGAAGGGAACTCGCTACAAGACCCTGACACAGGCCCAGGTGAGGAGGAGGCACCCCGAGGAGTCGAGTCCGTGCAGATGGTGAGGAGCAGGCACTCGGTGACGCTGAGAGAGACTTGGGCTGATGTGCACACGAGGCAGATGGTGGCGTCCTTATCGGCACACGGTCAGCTGTCGGAATGAAAGGTCCTCGGTGGAGACTGGGCTCTGCAGCCAGAGGCAAACAGACCTGGAGAGAGAGGGAGAGCCGGGCCCTGCCGGGCCTGCACGGCTGTGGGTGGGGAACCAGCCAGGCCCGTTTTCCCCTTCATTGCACCCGTTACAGGCACACCATTTGGTATTCGTGTCTGTGGGGGCTCACAGGGGCAGCTAGGGCACAGATCAGAAATGTCTGCAGCTGCCCCTTTGGGGTCCACTGTCCCTGTTCCTTACCTTTGGGGACCACTGACCTCCTCTCCGTGCCCCTTGCTGGGACTTTTCTGGAAGGTCCTGGAAATGGGTCACGCAACCTGTCAGCTCATGCGTCTGGCTCCTCCCCAGGCCACATGGCCTCTGCCTCCAGGACTCGCCCCCCCTTGAGCAGGCGAGCAGCCGTGGACAATGTGGAGACGAGTGGGCGTGGCCGTGCTCCATAAAACTGTATCTGTGGGCACTGGACGTTTTGTTTCGGGTAATTTTCCCGTGTCATGAAAGCAGGATTCTTCTTTTGATGGTTTTCAGCTAAATGGAGAAACCATTCGTAGCTCCGAGGCCGGACTAAAGCAGATGGTGGGGTGGGGCGGCCTCAGACAGACAGAGTCTGCCAACTGCCTGCCCCATGAGCCCCGGGCACGCAGGAAGCGTGAGCTCCTGGCCTCACCGATGGCTCTGACATGTTGGAATTTCTGCTGCCGATTAGAAATGGAGAAGGTAGAGTGGTTGAGTGTCCACCTATGAACCAGGAGGTCACAGAACGATTCCTGGTCAGGGCACATGCCCGGGTTGCGGGCTCCATCCTCAGTAGGGGGCATGCAGGAGGCAGCCGATCAATGATTCTCTCTCATCATTGATGTTTCTCTCTCTCTCTCTATCTCTCCCTCCTTCTCTCCCTCTCTCCCTTCCTCTCTGAAATCAATAAAAATATATTAAAAATATAAGAAAAGGAGAAGGAATGTATCACTCCAGCAGAGGGCTGTGTCCC